GCCGCCCTGAGTCCCCTTAGGGAAAAGGGCGGCCTATAAATGTCAATAATAAAATAAAATAAAAAAAAAAGTTAAGAATTTCACATCTGCAGAACAGTGAATATAAGCAACTCTACTCTTAGTATACCAGTTATTATGTGTGTAAATACAAGATCCTCCACCTTTGCTTTTACCAGAGTTGCTGTTTCTGTCAAAGTGGTATGTGGTGTGGTTAGTTAGCTCCACTGACGCATCCGGTACAAGTGAATGAAGCCAGGTCTCTGTGATGATCATCACACAGCAGTCACGAATGAGCTTATTCACTGCCATCCATAGCTCTAATTCATCAGTTTTGTGGACAAAGATCTAGAGTTGGTTAGAAAAATGCTTGGTAATGCTGGTCTGTGAGGCTGCTTCCGTAACTGAACTAACAAACCAGCTCTGCATCCCTGCTTCTGCTTCCACTCTCTTTGCCGCCTCCTAGGCCCAACAACAATCCATGGCAGTCTTACTATGTCACTCAGTATATTATGAGACTGCTGGAAGTCGCTGGTAATATCTAATCGACTAGAAGATCCAATCTTTAATAACTCCCTGCTAGTTTTTGCCTAACTCTACTGTGGTACCAGGAGCTCAAAATCGCAGCGTCTAAGCACGCTGCCATCTTGGAGGGGAAGATACATTTTTCCCCACAATGCTCATCTGTGTATATAGGCTAATGAGGGCTAGTACTGTAGAAATTGGATATCTCTCTTTAGTGATACTCAGGCTGTTCTTAATGGACTCTGTGTTATACCTTATGTTACAGGTTCAGATTTGCTCTGACTGTGGTGGTACTCAATTTTTCTTAAATGTAAAGAATTTTCACAATTCTGGAAAAGAAAAGGCCACAATATAAATTTACTTAATCTTGCTGAGTTGCTATTGTTTTCCTAGCAAAATTACAATGCAGCAGATTTGAGAGACACCAAGAAGAGAAGCATGTTGCTTCAAATGAACCACAATACTTTCTTTCCAGATGAAATAAATATGAACGATGACATGTAATATTATGCATTGTATTATTTTACAGATGCAAACAGGCGTGTTTCAGGAGGTGCTATGCAGCTGTCCTTTAGTCAGTTAACTATAGACTACTATCCATTTCACAAAGCAGGTAAAAGTTGAATTCTGTTTTCTGGTTGCAAAACTCCTTGATCAGCACTTAATTTTCCACAGTAAATCTTACATATAATATGTTATTGATCAAAGTGACCAAAGAGGATGCTGCAGATATGAAACTTTGCACAATAAGTTATATTGTATTTTATCCCAATTCAAAAAGATACTTAAATGTTTGGAAATAGTCTATTCTGAGAATTTCAGTTAGTCTTAGCGGTTCTTAAAAACAGTCTTTCCCAGTCTGTTGGCATCTAGATGTTTTCAGTCAATACACCCATCATCTCAGCAGCAACTCCAAGATGGAAAGGATTTAAAAAGAATAAAATAATCTTTAGGCTTGAAAATAATTCCTATGAAGAAAGGCTTTGATGTTTGGGTCTTTCTTGTTAAACAAGGGTAATTATGATGGAGTAGTGATAGTTGTGGTCATTACAGTGATGCATAAAATTATATATAGAATGGAGTAAATTCTACAGAGGATTTTTCCTATCTAAATACTAGAGTTTAAAGTTATTCAATAGGGATATAAGGATATGGATAAAGTTATCCAGCAAGAGAGTCATTTAAAAAGTATTTCTTTACACAACATGCACAGGTAGTACTTGACCACAGTTGGGACCAGAATCTTGGTCACCATTGAGCAAAGCAATCATTAAGTGAGATGTCACATGACTGCTTCACTCAATGGTCACAATCCCAGCATTCCCAGTAACGATAGCTAAGTGACAAATGCTGGATTAGATGAATCTTTGAAATGATACAGTAAGGCTTTCCTTAAATTCATTACATTTTTACAGCCTTAATACTGATATTAGGCAATTACAAACTGGAATCTAAACAAATAATTTAACTAATTTCAAATATTTTAAAATACATCAAATAATAATGAATAAAATATTAAAATATTATAAATGGATTTAAGTAGGTGCTTAAATTCCTTTTCATTTTTATTAAATATATGTAATTGTAGATGAGAGCTGCAGCCATTGGATGCATTACAGTGATGCTACAAAAACCAGAAGTGAATGGGCAGAAGAACTGCTGCAAGAGTTCAAAGGAAATGTTGAATTGCTTAAGCAGGCTGTGAGGGATCACAAATTAGATTCTCCACTTAAATCTCCATTCCAGGACTCTCCACAGCATATACAGATAGGTATTTAAGATTTTTCATTTACATTTACAATCTGTTTGTGGACACAGATCCTATTGATTTGAATTGATTTGATTAGAAATACCAATACATTTGCTTTGAATAAATTTGGTGTCTTTCATTATATTTTAGTAATCTTTATTCATACTATATTGTAGTCTCCCATGTAAGTATAAAATTAATTTGGGAGATAGATGCTTATAATATAAATAATATTTATTAGTGAAGATAAATAATGGATTAGGTTTCCAATGGTATATGAATTGTGCAATTTATGAGTCAATTTATAGTTTCCTTTCATTGCATTATCTTATAGAAATTTTAGTTTATTTTAATTATTTTTACATTACCCAGCAACATGAATAGAGGGGATTTTAGAAGGTAGCCTACACTGTACATGCTTTTATGTTTTTTGTTTCTTGTAGGCAAGGATCAAATGTCAAAAGGAATTTCTAAGACTTTTGTGTCATCACAGCAGCCAAAGGAGAAATTGATGTCTAGCCCAGTGGTAGTTAGACTTGCCGATGTCAATTTTTATCAGGTACATTTAAATAATGACTGCTACAACAAATTAATATTACTTTTCTTTTATGTCCCAAATTATTAGGTTCTTTGATTTTCAATCAAAGTGACACAGATTTTGCCAACTAATTGTTGGCATAAAGGGATCTTCTGTGAAACTATTTCTGTTAGTTTTTAGTCTTATAATTGGCAGAAAAAAATATTTGATTACATTAAGTGGACATTCTGTCATATGCCATTACTTTTGCCTTTCCAGTTTATAACCTATCAGTGAAAATCAGGAAGTATTTGCTGTTTTTTTTTATTTAGTTTTTTCCCCATTGCAATTTAATTGGAGAGTTGGCCCATTTGTTAAGTTTGATTTAGATTTGTCCACTACTGTTCATAGGCATTGATGCATACCAAGGTTGGGTTCCAGATCCCGTTCCAACCGTACAGTTGGAACGGGCCCATCGGCGTCCACATGGATGAGCGCAGTGTGTGCATGCGTCTTAGTGCCTCTGTGATGCTGCAGCTGCTCATCGGAGAATCGCATAGGCACTGTATGCACCGTGCGCATGTGCAGAAGCACCAAAGGCTTAAAAGACCAGTAAGGAGCTCAAGTGGGCGGGTGGGCCCTCCGGAGCACTGTACCAGAATGGTATCCGGTGCTCCTGGCAGGCTCTGGTACTCTGCAACCCACCACTGATGCATACCTATGCTGGTAGGGGGTTGATGGATTTGCAGATGATTGCAGATGGACTGATGTACACACCATCCAAATCTCAATTATATATTGTATGGAGATGCATGTTTGCATCCTGATTGCCTGATCCAAAATCCTGTTGGAAGGCAGGCAGAAGGCAAGGCACACTCAAATAACAAAATGGAGGGTATAAATTGAAATGCAACAGCTAGGCAACCAACTCCAAATGACAGGTGCATATATTCCCTGAGGTGCAGTATAGCAGGTTTGCTCCAGACTTCATACAATGCTCGGCATGCCTCTTTAAAGATTTCTGAGGTCAGGAGAGGTTTTTTTTAAAAAAATATTACGATTGACTGTATCTTGAGCTTAAGTTATAGTTATTTATATTCTAAGCCACCTGTAGAACTTTTATGAATAATACATACCACTCCATATCTGATTATAATAAGCAAGCATTTCTTTATGATATGTTTTTTTAAATGATGAAAAGTATCACAATTTATACACAAAGGCATAAATTTGGTTGTTAATATAAATATGTTCTATCTTTCTACCTAATGCTTTAAATGATTTCTAGAACCTTTGTATCTATTTCAGGCAATTTAATTTATTTTTCTTATTTGATTTGATTAAATATATAACCTGTATCACAAAACAGTAAGCTTAAAGACATGTTAGCTTAAAGTAAATATGGTACATATAGAAATTATTAACATTAATTTTAAGGTATTATATTTTGTAGCATAATAACAAATTTTTAAAACTCTGTTTTTAACATTATTGGAACCAAACTAAGCAAAGGGCTGTTATATAACTGTTTACAATTAATAAATAATTTTTGAAATGTTGCAGCATATTAAGAATGACATTTCCTGGTATGTTGTCTACAAATCCAGTACCATGCACCAAGTGTCATAAATGGCCACAAAAATGATGTACTTGGGGTTTTTTTTTGGGGGGGGGGGTATTAAAATGAAACTCTTTTTCCTAATAACTGTGAAAAGTGATAGGTGAGAAGTTGTTCACACTTGTACTTCACAAAACCTAAATGCTGAATTTCTTATTTTCAGGTCTCTACAGCAGACCAGTGTCGCCGTTCTCCTAAAACTCTTATTTCTTGCAATAAAAAATCTCTCTATCTCCCACAAGAAATGCCAGCCATTCATATTGAATTCACTGAATACTACTATCCAGATGGCAAAGACTTTCCTAGTAAAATGTTTTCTTATTTTTTCCCCTTTGTTAAAATATTGTAGCTGTTTTGAAAGTAGAATGGATCAGTTTAATGGATTCATATTTAGGGGTCTGCAGATACAGTGAACCATATTCCTATTTGGAAATTTCCTTCAAATAATGGCAATCCCTTTGAATCCAAAGTAGTCTGAATAAGACATACCTATTTGTATACTCATAAATTTTGCAGCAATATAACATAACACAGATTATGGTCTTTTACATAATTATGTTGGTATATAAAAGATGCAGGTATTACTGAAATGTATTTGTTAATTACTTTCAAATTAACAGACATTTGGGAGTAATGGATACTTCCACCTCCCACTCAAACCATTAAAAGTTTCTCCAATATTCTGGGCAGATACATCTGAGAGAGAAAAATTAGGATTAGGTAGATATTGATAAATCAGATGTAGATTTTTTTTCTAGATTTGAAAAACATTAAAAATATCTAGTGTTAGATAAACTGACTTTTTACTGCTTTGCTATATCTAATCCCAGCATATCACAATTGGAATTCCTACTTATATGGAATGTGCCAATATTTTTTTTCAATGAAATTGTAATAGACATGTTCTATCCATTGCAACATAAGAAAGGAAGAGAAATTGGAAGATTATATCATATGGCAGGTTTGACAAAACATTTCAGAAGCAAAGCTTAAGACTATTTACTTAGCACCGGATATAATATATTTATCTTGTTTAAAACAAGATTCTCCAACCCCCAGTCCACGGATTGATAGTGAAACACAGTATGTTGGGAACCAGGCTGCATAAGCCATGTGTGAGCACATGAACCTCCATTTGCACATGCATGGGATTAGTTTGTGTGTGTGTGTTATTATCCACTGCCACCCTAGGTGGCCTTTACTGCTGCTAGTCCTCGGAGCCAGAAAGATTGGGGACCACTGGTTTAAAATATTTGATATATGATTTAAAATTCAGTATAAAGATAATGCTTAATTTTTTCACTTTAATATTGTCAGGGCTCTTTAAAACTTATATTATTGCCCAATGTGTGGTAATATGAAGAATGCTTTTATTGTAGAGAAATACTTATGAGATCATGAAGGGAAAATAACCCTACTTTTATAATATTCTTTGTCCAAAGATGCAACTCTGTTTACCACATTAATCAAATACTTAAATGCTGACACAGAAAAATGAACTGTTTCATTTTCCACACACGCACACACACACACACACACACACACACACACACACACACACACCACACACATCAAGTAGATGTTTGTATAAATGATTTCTCACTA